GAGAGAGAGAGAGAGAGAGAGAGAGAGAGAGAGAGAGAGAGAGAGAGAGAGAGAGAGAGAGAGAGAGAGAGAGAGAGAGAGAGAGAGAGAGAGAGAGAGAGAGAGAGAGAGAGAGAGAGAGAGAGAGGAATGAGTAGTAATGAATAGTAAATTATATATATTGTGTTGATCTTTCTCGTCCTTTTTGGCTAACTTCGCTATCCCATGTTCATGAAATAATCTCATTTATTATAGGAGAGAGAGTATAATCGACATTGTCGATCAACTGAGCTTGAATGATCTTCAATCATCATGATCATTTTGAACGACAGAGCTAGTTTAGTTGTCGACCTTTAAAAATATATGAGGGAACTTATGAATGTGTCCAGTAAGATTGGAGAAGCAATAATGATGAAAACATCATTGTAAGAGTTCTATCCTCATCTGTTAAGGTGATGGGAGATGTGAGCTGTGTTTGGGAGCAAGGGTTGTTTGGGAGCAAGGGTGGTTGTGTATAGTTCTCCCAATCGAAGCCTCTTTAGGCTGACTTAATGGGATGAGTCTCCACCTCCTCTAAAGATGACATGAATTATGCAAGTGTTGTGGATGGCATGAGGTCAAACTAACTCGTCCATTTTTTTCCTACTGAAGCTTTCCTCTATCGCTGCGTGGTTGCTCATGTGGCTACAGTCTCCTTGGTTGTATGTTATGTCGGTCTCTCTATGATCCCAGGATGGCCAAGTGTCTTCATATCACGGATGGGGAGACGGACATGAATCATCCCTACATCTCTACCTGCCACCTTTGGAGTTGTTCTTCTGCAGGTGATGAGTGGAGGACTCTATTATATAGGAACGATGCTAGAGTTATACTCTTCAACTAATATGTGATTATTGGTCATCTCCAATACCTAAATCAATGTCTTTAGTTTATGGGGACTCAAAGTGTACCAAATGGGTCCTTCCTTCAGTTAGGGCGGCCTTAGCTACTGCGAGCTCCAATCTAAAACTTTTATATCTCACTCTTGAAGTATGTGATTAACAATAAAAGGCTCTCTTTTTATCCCTATCGGATCTATTGGAGGGCTTATGCATTTTTTTGTGGTTTTTGGGCGCATGTAAACTATGTCATAAACATTCACTTGAAATCAACAAACATACGATCAGTTCTGATGGCACTACATTGAACCGCCTAAGGGTTAAATCCGTCAGTGTGGTAAAGAAAAGATGATATTTCATCACATCAATGATCTTTAGTAGACACACAATTGACTTAAGTAAGGCTTTTTGGTTAGTCAGATTTGTCTGCCCTTATAAGACTCCATCACTACAAAAAATGAACCTATTTCTGACGGCCTCAAAACCATCAGAAACTATATAAAAGCCTTTGTTTTATAAATTTTTGATGAATTAATGATGTCTTTGGGGATGTATCTAAAACACTTGTCAGTAATTATTTCACCGACGAAATTATGTATTCCCCACAATCCATAGGTGAAAAAAAACTGCATGTGGTGCTTGAACTGGATCTCATATCAGGAACAACTGGTGACGGTGCGAGTGTTGTAGTGGTAGCTGATAGCAATGCAGGTGTGGTAGTCACGACAACTGAAGGCGCGGGTGTGGTAGTCACAACTACTGCTGGTGATATTTTGGTGGCAGTGGGGGTGTCTATCGGAGTTTGTCCAAGTATGAGTGGTGGTGGTATAGTAGAAGTGCTTGCATCCTCAACACAACTTTCATGGCCTCATCAACTACTTGTCTTCTTCCTTTTATAATGATTAAAGGGCGCTGCGTCCTCTAACAGGAGGGAGGCCATCATTCCTTCCAGAAGTCATCTGCAAGAAG